CGACCGGGGCCAAATTTTCAAAAACAACATCGCTCGGGGTTCCTCGTGTTTTTGGGTGTGTAGCGGGTTTGGGGGGGGTGTAACGGAGGGGTGGGTGCGTTTCTGCGGCAACGTGATCATTAATGTTTCGGGGCGTTGGAATCTAGCTGACTCAGAAACACGATCGGACCTTATCACCCTTGGAATCCTCCTTGGTGGCCTCCACCTCCGCCTGCACGACCGTCTCGTTGCCCACCTGGGACTCCTGGCGCTTGACCTGGACGCTGTCCAAGCCGACCTGCGACTGCGACTGCGACATGTCGAGCGCCTCACGGATGATGTCATGCGAGGACTTCTTCGTGCGGATCCTCTTCTTGGGGGTGATGTTCGGGTCATCTCCGCCTGGCCCTGCAGCTGGTTCTGGTTCCGCAGGCGCATCCACCTCCACCCCTGCTGTTACATCTCCATCTTCGGCTGGGTCGTCGCCATCAGCTCCATCGGCTTCGAACGCGGCGCCCCCGTCGGTGCCGCGGCCAGTGGCTGCTACGGGTGGCGCCGCAGCTGCTGGGCGCTTCAAAGTTGGAGGCGCGGACTTGGTGATGCCGCCCTCCTTCATCAAGGTTTTCTTCATGGCGTCGGCCTCCTGCTTGCTGTAGATCGAGCCCCCCTTGATGGCGTCGAGGATCTTCTTCGTGAACTTGATGGACTCGTCCTGTGTAGAACCCGCGACGCGCAGAACCATCGCACCCCCTCCCCGATCCCAGCCGCGAAGGGCAGGGAGACGGGGGAGAGGCGCAATGGTTCAGCATTGTCGTGGGCATTGGGGCCTGGCCGCCAGAGAACCACGCGGCGTCGACCTGCGTCAACTGCTCGTTGGTCCCGTCGGGGTGTATGCGGACGAGGGTGCACAAATTCTGCATCTCCTTGCCCTTCGGCTGGTTGTTGCGCATCTTGATGTAGAGGGTCTCTGCGCGATCACCCGTGCCCATGGTGGTGACGTGGATGCGCGTGTTGCCTTTCTTCGTGGTGCTTCCGTCTCCTCGTGTGTCCAGGCACTTGTACCTCATGCCGTCGGGCCAATGGGCGATCACCTTGCCATGTTCATCACGTTCAGTCTTGCTTGGCGGCTCTGGTATCTTCTTCCCTGCTCCATTCGATCTCGTCCTGATCATGCTGTCCATGGTCTCGTCGAATGCCATCTTGTACTCGATCTGCTTGAACTTGTACGTGGAAACCCACTCCTCCAAGTTCCCGTCTCCAGTCTTCTCGTCCTGATCATCGCCCCCGTCGCAGGTGTCATCCGGCGTGAGGCCATGCTCCTGGGGGCGCGGAACATGATTGCAAGATGTCACACCATTGTCGTAAAGTGGTCGAAACATGGTCGACCATTTTTCGTGATTATTGGATTTGTGTTCGTGTGTTTGTGGTGGTGATGGTGGTGGTGGTGTGTGTAGTGTGAGTGTGTGTGTATGTGTTCGTGTGTTCGTGTGTGTGTGTGTGCGTGTGTGCGTGCGTCTGTGCGTGCGTGCGCTATGCGCATTTGGTTAATCAGCGTGCGATCCTTGACTGCGTCAGCGAACCATTTCGGCCACGACTTGCGTGACACCACCTTGTACACGTGCCTGGCCAGCGTGCGCAACCTTCTGGGCCAGCCCCCCCGCACCGCACGCGCCTCCCTCCGCATCCTCATCTCATCCTATCTCTCTCTCTCTCTCTCTCCCTGTCTCTCTCACTCTCGATCTCCCCCCTCTGTCTCGTTCTCTCTCCCCCTCTCTCTCTCTCTCCCTCTCTCTCTCTCATCTATATATATACATAGCCGTCTCTCCCCCTCTCTAGTTGCTCTACTTGTTTCGCTCGTTCTCTCTCTCTCTCTCGATGTCTCTCTCTCGCTCTCTCTCTCTCTCTCTCTCGCTCTCTCTCTCTCGCTCGCTCGCTCGCTCGCTCGCTCGCTCGACCTCGCTCCCCCTCGCTCTCTCGCTCTCTTCCTCTCTTTGCCGTGCCCTCTCTGGCTTATGCATGTTCTCCACGTCGCCATTTTTGCATTATGTATCTCTCTCTCTCTCTCTCTCTCTTTCTCTCTCCCTCTCTCTCTTTCTTTCTGTCTCTGCGTTGTCTCCTCCTCCTGCTCTCCCCTCGCCATCATCAGCGCCACCACCATCCCTGTATAGTCCTCATCCCATACATCGCCATCATCGTGATCATGACCATCATCAACATCATCACGCTCGTCATCGCCATCACCACCACCGTCATCATCATCCTCACCACCATCACCGCCGTCGTTATCTGCATCAGTACCGTTAGCATCACTGCCATTCTCCTCGTCCATGTCCTCCCCATCCTCATCCATCTCCCCCCCCCCCCCATCATGTTGATCCGCCTTATACCACCTCATTGCCCTTTACACAGTTTTCCTCCTCATCGTCCTCATCACCATCGCCCTCATCAGCATCTTCATCATCATCGGTATGATCATCACCATCGTCATCATCAGCATCAGCATCATCATACTCGTCATCTTCAGCATCGTCATCATCATCAACAGCAGCATCGTCATCATCATCTTCACCATCATCATCAGCATCATCATCAGCATCATCACCATCAGCATCATCATCATCATCAGTATCACCATCATCAGCATCATCATTATCATCATCATCATCATCATCATCACCATTCTCATACATCTATTCATACCGCTCTGACCTAGCAGAGTTCTCGCTCGCCCACATGGAGCACTGCGAGGAGCTGAGGTCTGGGAACTTCTCCTTGGCAATCAGCATGAAGGCCGCGTCGCACGCCTTGGGGCCGAAGCTCAGGTTGGGGTCAACCTTGAGCCTCATCGTGGCCACGAGCGCGGCGTGCTGGACGACGGTGTCGCGGTGCTGCTTGACGCCGTCGCCCTTGGCCTCCTTGTTGGGGTAGGTGAGCCACTCCTTCTCCGTCACGAAGGGCGCGAACTCCTTGGGTGGGCACGGGGGGCGGATGAGGGAGAGACGGGCGGAGGAGAACGCGGGGGGATCCAGGATGAGTTGCGACCAAGGTAAACGGGAAGTGGGGACGGGGGAGGGGCGGGCGAGAAGAGGGGATAGGAATGGAACCAGTTAGCGGAACCAGGAATGGAACCAGATAGGAAAGGAACCAGTTAGGAAGAGGTGAGGGGAGGAATGGGACGCACAGAGAAGCTCCTGGGCCATGAGCTCCGTGTTGGAGCATGGCCGCGCCCTCGATGGTCTGTCCGCCGCGCCGTCGTCGTCCACGTCCGCCATGGCCTGGGCAGTCGGCGACTGCCCAAGCCGAGGCGGCTTGGGCAGTCGTCGACTGCCTATTCTTCGGGAGGCGTTTTTTTTTCGTGTTTTCCTATGGGGTTGTTGAGGGCGGCGGTGCGGGGTGGGTCGGGGTGGGTCGGGGTGGGTCGGGGTGGGTCGGGGTGGGTCGGGGGTAGGGGTCGCGAGCTCCCGAGCCCGCGCTCGAAACCGCTCCGCCCCACAGCGGGGCGCGGTGGGCGCGTTGTGAATCCAAGCCCTCGCGCGAAAGGCGACGGCGTGTGGACCGAAAAAACCGAAGCCCCACGTGGGGGCGCCAGGCGTGACAGTCGCAACCCCCGTCTGGGAGGCACCAGGCGCGCAGCAAAGCGTTGCACCCCTTACACAACCTATTACACTACATGTTTTTAGTAAAAACTGACGAGTATGTTGCGTCGTTTGAAAATTGACTAGTTTGCTTGTGTTTGTAGAAAATTGACTAACGTTTTCGTTTGTGTGATAAATTGACTAACTTCCTGTTTTGGTTGCATAATTTGACTGGGTTTTTGGGCGTTTTAAAAAAGGACTAAATCTTAGTCCTCTCCATCCTCAGGGTAGGCCTTCCACGCGGGCCAACTCCTCGGGCGTCAAAATACCCGGCGCCGCCGAGTCTTGAACAGAGCCCCAGGTGTCGTGGCCAGCGAGCCAGTTCAGTTCGTGAACCGCCACCTGCACCATCTTCGCGCGCCGCCCAGCTCGGCCCCGCGCCTTCCCTGCCGAGCGAGCCGAAGTGGCCGGGCCAGACTGCGCCGCTGGGGCAGGTAGAGGGAAGAAGCCCCTCGTCGGACGGCCACCTGGGGAAGCGCCCCCCGCGCCCCAAGTTCGCTCGCCGAGCGCGGGGCCAGCCCCCCCGGCGGCGCTGCTGCTCATTGCGGATCGGTGGCGCCAGGCGCGAGCCCACGCCGGCCTCGGCCGCCGCCCTCGCGCCCTCCGCCGCCGCGCCCTCCGCGCCCCCCCCCCGCCCCCCGCCGCCCGCGGCGACCTCGCCGGCCTCGGCGCCTTCCACCGCGGTCGTCGGGCTGCCGCGGAGCCCTCGCGCGCCACCCTGCCCCAGGGCCGCGATCGCGTCGGCCCGGTCCGTGGCGCGACGAGCAGCAAACGACTGGAGGGCGGGGCTGACGGGGTTGTCTGGCGCGCCGGTGCCCGTGCACAGCCTCGCGCGCTCCCAAGTGATCCTCTGCGGGTTCTGGTGCGCATCGATGATGGTCTGGATGCGCCTCATGGGAGTCTCCAGCGAGGCGAGGGCACCGACATTCAAGTGGTCGCACACGCCCGCGAAGTAGAGGGCGTCGCACCATACTTGCATCTCGCGATATGTGCGGTCCGAGCCATCCATCTTCTTCTCCCTCAGCCACGTGAGCAGCCACTGCCGAGGATCGCCCCCGTGCCGATCGACATGCTTGTCCAGGAAGAGCGCCGTGCCAGGCCCTTTCAGGGGAGAGTTGGAAAACGACTCTTGGGTGCTTTCTCGAGTCACTTCCCGCCGCGACTTGAGCCTCCCCCCCTGATTGTCGTAGTCGACCCGCAGTGTGCGGATGTCGGCCGACGGGCCATCGCCCCTGGGGCCCGCGCCGGCCGCCCCCAGCCCCAGCGAGCCCCGCGGCGGGCCGTCCGAGGGGCCCAGCCGGCCACTGGCACGGGCCCCTTCGGCTCGGTCGGCCCCGGCGACGAGGGCCTTAAGGGGGGAGCGACGGTGCCCCCCAGCGCGCCATCCTCGCAGGGCTGCCAGCGGCGACGCTCCATGGCGACGACGTCAGGCACTGCTTCCGGCTTCGTCGCCAAGCAGTGCGCGTACTTGGCCCCGCCCAGCAACGGCGCGTCGCTGGCTCCCGCTCGAACGAAGGTCTGCCCGTCCAAGGCGGCTGCGTCGCCAGGCGAGAGCGTGCTGCTGTAGCCCATCGCATACCAGCGGAGGCCAGGCAGCAGCTCTGCAGAGTCGGCCCGCGCAGCGGGCGGCTCCTCGGCAGGCGGCGGCGACGGGGGGCCCGCGCCGCCGGCGCCAGCAGCCTCGCGCTGCTTGCCCCGCACCCTGCGCGCGGACCTAGGCCAGCCTGGGATCAGCTCGCCGATCGCGATCTCGTCGCCCGTCGGCGGCAGCACGTCCTCCAACGCAGGCGGTGAGCCGCCCGTGTCGTACTTCACGGCCGCCCGGTAGCCGCGCTTGATCATGGCCGCCAGCTCGCTACGGTCAGGGCAGACGCGGAAGCGGTACAACTTCCTCGTGAGCCAATCGGGCTTCGACCCGACATCAGGCAACGGGTAGGTCATGATGACGTCCGCGTCCGAACCCACCGCCACGGCCTCTGGGTGCTCGTCGAAGTACCAGACGTCCTCCTCTTTAGTACACGGGTGCAACAGCAAGCGCTCGTGGTCGATGCCATCGCCACGGTGCTGCACCCCGATGGTCTGGCCCGGCTTCAGGTCACTCCACCACGCCCCGCCCTCCTCGAACATCAGCAGCGACATCTCGAGGCGGCCTGCCTCCTGCGGCGGCGCGCCTGGGGGCCGGCCTGCGGGCGCGCCACTGGGCCCACGCCGCCCGCCAGAGCGCCCCGGCCAGCAGTTGGGAGGCCACTTGCTCCAGCACGCTCGGCCCGTCTGCCTCCAGCGCGGGGCGCTTCGGGCAGGGCGGGCAGGACGGCACCTCGGGGCAATCTGGACGGCCCCACTCCAGCGGAACCTGGCAGATCGGCCCAGGCGGAGGGATCGCCGGGGTCGGCGCGATGTCGGGCGCCCTGGCCTCCCGCAGCATCCCGCAGCTCCGCCCCCCAGAAGCCGCCTGCGGCCCCCGCCAGGAGCGCAGCCAGCGCGGAGGGGGCCAGCCGCGGCCCAGGTGCGCCCGCGGGGCCGGGGAGCGCGGGATGCATCCGCTCTCCGAAGCAGCAGACTTGAGAGAGAGAGGGTTGCGGACGAACCTCGCTTGAAGCACGTCGATCTTTCACGAACCCCCAAAGATATTTATGTGCACGCACCCCTCGTCATTGGTACTCCTCCTCCTCCTCCTCCTCCTCCTCCTCCTTCTGGTCTTCCTCCTCATCCTCCTCCTCCGTCTCCTCCTGCTTTTCGCGCTTCCACCTCGTTCCTCTTCGTTCCGCGCTCCTTGTCCTGCTTCCTCCTCGTCCTCGCTCCTCCTCCATCCCTATTCCTCATGAATAATTCCGCCCTGTCGCACCCCGAGGCCGGTCGAAAGGGCGGGCCGGGCGTTTCGCCTGAGACTTCCTTACCACCTACGACCCTGAAGCTTAACAACTGGCAACACTTTCGCACATGGAGGGCGGGTGGTTTTCAAAATGGGGCTCCCGCTTTAGCGCCGCGTACGCTCGTCTTCAACATTTGCAAGAGCTTCACGGATGGAGGGCGGCTGATTTGCAAAATGTGGCTCCCGCCTAAGCGCCGCGCACATTCGTTCAAACAGTTGAAGCAGTTCCACGAATTGTAAGCGATTCGTTTTCAAAATGTGGCTGTCGCTTTAGCGCCGCGTACATTCGTTTTGAACATTTGCGATAGTTGCACGGGTTCCCATGGTCAGCGTACCAGAAATGGTGTTTTGGAAGGCGTCAGGATTGTTAAGGTGCAACAGCTATTAATCGCTCGCGGTGTTGAAATCCCAAGACTGGCGTTCTGGCGCGATTCAGGATCGTCAAGACGCAACAGTCACGTTGATCCGTGGTGTTGGAGTCCCGAGAATGCTGTTTTGGGATGCTTCAGGGTCGTCAAACGGTTGTCTCCCAACGGGGCAGTTCCCTCAGTGGAAATGACCCCTCGTAGGGGCCTGTGAACAGGGAGCTTGGAGGGAGGGTTTCTCCCAACATCCTTGATGAGTCTTGGGCTTGCACTGGTCCTCCTCCTCCTCCTCGTCCTTCCCCTCGTACTCGTCCCCGCCCCTCCACCTCCTCCTCCTCCTCCTCCTCCTCCTCCTCCTCCTCCTCCTCTTCCTCCTCCCCCTCCTCCTCCTCCTCCTCCACCTCTTCCTCATCTTCCTCCTCTTCCTCTTCTTCCTCCCCTTTTCCTCCTCGTCTCCTCCTCCTCCTCTTCCTCCTCCTCTTCATCCGACCCCTCCTCCACCCCCTCCGTTCTTCTCCTCGCTCTTCCTTCTCGTTCCTTACTCCTCATATTCCTCCTCTTCCTCCTCCTCCTCCTCTTTCTCCTCCTCTTCCTCGCTCCCCGTCTTTCCACGTCGCTCGTCCGCCTCCTTCTTGACCACCTTTCTCCTAGTCCTCGGCCTTCCTCCCTCCTCCGCGTCCTCGCGCATATTCCTCCTCTTCTCCTCGCCTCCTCCTCTTCCTCCCCCTCCTCCTCCATCCCTCTTCCTCACGAAGAACTCCTCCCTGTGGCACCAGCGGGCGTGTCGGCAGGGCGGGCCAAGCGCTTCGCTTAAGAATTCCTCCCCGGGTGTGATCCTGAAGTTTGATATCTGCAACAATATCACGGATGGAGGGTGGATCCTTGTCAAAATGTGGCTCTCGCCTTGGCGCCGCGCACATTCGCCCTTCAAGTTTGCACGGGCTTTATGGATGCAGGGCAAGCGGATTTCAAGGTGTTGCTCCCGCCGTCGCGCTGCACACATTCGTTTTGAACGTTTGTATCTGCTTCATGGATGAAGGCCAGCTCTTGTTCGAACTGCAACTATCGCCCGCACGCTGCGCGCATTCGTTCTCAACCTGTACACCTATACCACAGATTCACATGGTCGAAAACCCACGAACGGTGTTCTGACAACATGTGAGATTGTCGGGACACGATTGTCACGTTGATTCGCGGCGTCGAACGATCATGAATGGTATCTGGTCCAAATTTCAAGCTGCCAGGGCGCAACCGTCACATTGATTCGCGGTGCTGGCGTCCCAATATTGATGTTTTGTCACAGTGGGAGATTATCAAACGGTTCTCTTCCAATGGTGTCTGTCCGGCACTTGGCACTGCAAATAAGCTCGGCGGCAAACGCTACGGCAACATTGTTGATGCGCCCTGGGTTTGCACTGCTCGTCTTCCTCCTCTTCCTCCTCCTCCTCCTCCTACCTTGCTCTTCTTCTTCCTCCTCCCTTTCTCCTCCACCTCGTCCTCGACCTCCTCCTCCTCCTCGCCCTTCGTTGTTCCTCATCGCTCCTCCTCCTTCCTTCTCGTCTTCTTGCCCCCTCCTCCTCCTCCTTCTCCTCCTCCTCGTCCTCATCCTCCTCCTCCTCCCTCGGTCTTCGGTCCTTCTCCTCCTCGCTCCTCGCTCCTCCTCCTTCTCCTCCTCTCCCTCCTCCTCT